TACCCAGATTACACTTATTTTAATTTTTTAAAAATATATGAAATTATTCAAACTTTAAGACACCATTAAAAATAAATATTGCATTATAGTGAAAATTTTGTTTTAGTTTACTGCATAAGTTGGCGACCCCACAGAAAACCCGTTGCGACCCCTTTCTGGGTCGCGACCCATAGGTTGGGAACACGTGGTTTAGAGTCACTGTCATAATTGTCTACTTCTACAATCTCCTGCTCTTCTGACTTAATTTCACTGTCATAATTTGTGTTTTTTGGCTCTTCTCTTTCCTCTATCCAACTCATTCTGAGTCAAAGCTTTATGAGACCTAAAAATATCACAAAAATATAAACATCCTGAAAACTGCTTGATATATTTTCAAAGGAATATAGTTCTAAAAACTTATTAAATCCTATGATATAATTAAATTAAAATATTTGTGCAAAAAATGTGAATAAAAAAGCTACTGTTGCAAATATATTTAAAAAATAAATGAGATAGTAAACGAAAATTATACTTACATGGCAAGGCACGTAACAGCAAGTACACTGCAGAAATGATACAACTATTTGAAGCTCATTAACAAGTAAATGGTTAAAGAAAGAAAGACCATTTGAACCATATATGGTTACATCTGGTATGAATAAAGAATACTCAAGTGCACTTCCACAACACCTGTAATCTTAAAAATAACTTTATCTATATTGTATAGCAAAATGCTGCAGTGCACCCATCGAAGGGTTTTAATAAACACATGCTGCATTTCATACTTAATTTATTTTATTAAAATTTACTTAGTATATTATAAATTTCATTAATATTTTGGAATTAAATGCGTTTTTCTTACAGATAAGTTTAAGATTTTTTGCCTCATTTAAGATTTAAAGTCAAATGGAGGTAACTGGATTTGTTGGATTTGGAGATATACAAGATATATTCTTGAAGAAAAATAAAAAAATCAAATCTTGTGGTGGTACAATTATTTATGAAATAAATACCAAAAGAGAATTCTTACCTGGTAGATATAATTTGAGTACATTGCATGATTCTAAAGTAAAAATAGTTCATCATGAAAACATTTCCCCGGAGAAGATAGATGAATATTTAATGAAATCTGATATTGGAAATAATTTCAAAGTACCAAATTATATGAATAGATATGATTGGATGCATGTAAGAAACTGGGGATTTCCCATAGGTTTATTTTCTGATGATGAATCTTCTACTGATGATGATTATTCATCAGTTGAAAATCCTGACTCATCATTTGACTCTATTGCTAGTACATCAGACGAGGAGTTATCTGATGATTCCTATTACAATATGGGTGGATTGAAGAGATTTCTAAAATGTTATACACAGTTTTACAAAGATGATGGAGTTTCGTTTAGCAAAAGACGATTTGAACATTGTTTCTTCGTCAATGATGAAAATCTCTCAGACAAATTTTATATAGAAGAGGAAAAATTAATAAAAATAAATGATAAAAAAGTTATTGGTTACATTTTCAAGATTGTGAATGGTGACTGGAACTGGAACTTTGGTTGTCTTTTTCAAGACAAATCTTCTGGCAAGTATTTTGCCATGGTGTTGGAAGAAATGTATACAACAAGGACAAAGGAGGAGGATGAAAATATTGAACATGAACATATCTGTGAGAATGAAAATTTTGAAGTTAATTTTGATGATTTTTGTATTTAATTGAAATGTCCAATAAATTTATGTTTCTGATGACATTATCTAATTACATGTACTGTTAAATGCTATGTACTTTTTTCACATAAAGTTTTTAACAAGTTGAAGATATTTTTATTGGGCAGCTTTAACATTACATTTTTAACTAATAAAATTTGACTGTATTAAAGGATTAATGGAATTATAACATAATTGTATGTTCTTTGGAATTAAGCACAAATTTGCTACAGAGACCTTATCATACAGGAACACTTTTCTTGATGGAAAAGATAGATTTTATTTTCTATTTTTATAAAAGGAAATGCATTTCAGGCCATATGTCCTCTTTAGTCCTTATTACATATAATGATAAAATTATATAAGAAAGAAATTAAAGAACATATTTATAGTTATTTATTTTTAAATATGCATATAACTTACAAAAAAACAAAAAATTACTTGTAATATAACTAATGGTGACACCTGGATTAAGTGTTAAAAGCATAGGGTAAAACTGAAAGAAATTTAAAAATAAATAAATATGGTAAAATGAATAAATACTAATAAAAAAACAATAAAAGGGTATTATATCTGTAAAATTAAAAAACCTTACTAAAAATAGAAAAAATTGACAAATAAAAGGAATAAAAACTTTAAAAGCAATAAAAACTAGCCAGAAAACAAGGCAAAAATGCTTTTCTACTATTATCAGGGAGTCTGATTGTTATACAGTATAGTGAATTAAAAGATGGAAAGGAAGAACATCTTAAAATGGAATCCTTTTATTTTTGTAGTAATGGTTGCCGATCTCACTGATGACAATGCCAGTGTTTAAATTCATTGTTATTTTCATTTATTTTAATAACTTTTAGATGTTCAAAATGTTTTCTTTTTTAAAGAATTTCGATGCTGTTGAGTGAGATCTCACAACTGGCACGATTGCAGTGTGTGGCAAACTGCTGAGCTAATGTAATTATACTTCACAGCTCATATATGCTCTATTAGTCTTGTTTTTGATATTCTTTCAGTCTCATGTACATAATAATATACTGGTTGACAAGTACAAGTGAAAATATAAACTAAATTATTATTTAACATTACATTTATTTTTCTGTGAAATATGAAACTATGAGCACTAAGTTTTGGCTTTATTGGAGGACTTATCACACGCTATGTTGTTGGAGTGATCACACAGAAGTAGGTAGCCACAGGTTTATTATGACAACAGTATGTATTTTGGACAAGTGGTCTGTCAACCTTCAGCCGTATTTGTTACAATTTGGTGGACATACAGGCATCTACAAAATTACAAGTGGTTTTTTGTTGCAGACATTTGGGTTTTGAATTAAAATAGTACAAAATTACATTTTTATACATACATAAAAGAAACATTCTATTTTGTTGCTGATGCATTGATAACTTCATTTTCAGAATTTTTTACAGTTGTTACATTATGTTTTCCAAACAAATAGCAACCACAGATTAAAATCTTTGCTCAAGATTACAGTTACAAAAATGAGAGCTGTTTTAAGTAAGGTTACATAAGTTCTAGCAGACAGTTAACTCATACAATGTTCCCTACTACAGAAGCGATGCTACTATAGGGTGGTACAGTAATACCTCGACTTACACTACCCCGACTTACGCGAACCCGGAGTTATGTGATTTTCAAATCTCGTCGATTCGTCTTTTGTTTGAGCGCCACGCAACTCTGGATTACTCATTCCCCCACACAATTGTTCAGCTTACGTGTTTGGACGTGTCGTGCGGAATCGACACATAGCTACAATTTATTTTGTGTTATTTATTTCTGTGTTTGTTATATCTACGGAGCCTTCAGAGACTCTATGTGGTGATTTCTTATAACAATGAACGAATCAAAAGACGATATAAGATTAACGAGAACATTTATTAGCTTACATACACCCGACTTGGATTTTACACACATTGAGAAATTATACCCTGACTTACGCAAATTTGACTTACGTGGTTATCGCTTGGTCCCACCTATCGTGTAAGTTCGGGGTATTACTGTATTTGGTATTGGTGATATAAATATTACTTGCTGGCTAATAGGTTTCAGATGTTGAAGTAAGGGTACCAGATGGGATCTAATTATACTCCTGTGTTTTCGTTTATTCTTACATTATGGATATCATGGATTCCATAATAACATATCCATGATATCACTTTTTCAAAAAATCTAGCAACAAGTTAAATAACTTTCTGCTAAGAAATTTTATTTAAAAATAACTTTTTATTATTACCACTGAAACTAATACTTTACAAAGAAGTGCTATAAATAGAAACTCAGCTCTGCCTGAATGAAATACAACCAAATCAATCAAGACAGACAAGTACTGTACTTTATCCACACTTTCTGAAATATTATGTTTTAATGGATTCCATAATAACATATCCATGATATCACTTTTTCAAAAAATCTAGCAACAAGTTAAATAACTTTCTGCTAAGAAATTTTATTTAAAAATAACTTTTTATTATTACCACTGAAACTAATACTTTACAAAGAAGTGCTATAAATAGAAACTCAGCTCTGCCTGAATGAAATACAACCAAATCAATCAAGACAGACAAGTACTGTACTTTATCCACACTTTCTGAAATATTATGTTTTAATTGATTTGATTTTAATTTTAATTAATTAATTTCAGTTTTGGTGCAAAAGCCAGAGTTTGAATTTAAAAATAATAAAATAATTAAATTATTATTTTTAGTTTTAATTAACTGGCTACCTAGTTACTTATAATAATTGCAAGAATATACGTGGGGGGATAAAAAAAAATAGATTTTTTGTATAAAAACTTTATTAACTTTTTTACAAAATTCCTTCAGTCACCTTCAAAGTACTCTCCATTAGATGTGATGCACTTGTCAAGTCTTTTTCCCCACTTTTTGAAGCATCTCTGGAACTCTTCAACCTTGATATCGTCCCTTAGCAAAGCTGTTTTTATCGCCTCCACATCATCAAAATGCTTCCCTTTTAGATTTTTCTTCATTCTTGGAAACAGAAAAAAGTTGCATGGGGCTAGATCTGGTGAATACAGAGGGTGGAGAACGACAGGCCATCCCTGAGAGACCAAGTAGTGGGTTACTGCCAAAGTTCTGGGCGTTTCCTTTGCTCATCCTCTCGCAGATGTCTTAACACTTTTTTGGCAGATCGTTTCAAGATGTTGAAGGACGCCCAGAACTTTGCAGGAGGAACAAAATAACAGTAAGAGAAACACAACACTACGCTCAAATGTAAACATACAAACTGATGCTGTTTGCACAGCTGTTTTGTGAAGGTCTCTACTAACCCCATGTAATGGGAGAACTCTCTACTATGTCTATGAATTGCAGCGTGCTCTCAATACGGTTTTTTTTTTTGGGTCCCCCTTGTAATTTAAAAGTATATTCTTCATGACTTCCATATTTAAATCTTTTTCTCATCTCCAGAAATTCATTGTTCCAATCAGTGGCAAATATTTTTTCATCAGCAGAAAAGTTCCACATGTTAAAATATGTTCACAATTTGTAAAACCAGAAAAATTTTTAGCAAGGACTTCACTGCTAACTCAATATTTGTTGGATTTTCTGCTTTTTGTCAGCAATTTGCCCTCTATGAACTAAACTTAAGATATGAAAGTTATTTTAAAATCAAAAAAATTAAATGTGACAGTAATTATACTATTTTTGTTGTTTCATAAACAAAACAGAATGAAGTGATATCATTAAAAAAAAGTTCTTCTGCAGCAAGTTTGGAAATTACAGTTGAATGTAAAATTGGTTTTGATATAAACAACTTCAAATTAAATGGAGTATCCCCAAAAAAACATTTGAAGGCTTATAGGAATCAGAAATATGTATGGTTGAAATGCCTTTCTAGAACGTTTGTTCGTCTNAGCCCAGTATGCTACTGAACCCGGGGTTTCTCCTTGTTGGGATGAAGCTATGCTTTTACACAGGGCGTTTGACCGACACGACTTACGTTCGTTGGAGGCTATTGAAATTTTTATAGCGTGCATGAAGGAAGGTTGCATTAACTCTGACTATATTCCTGTTCCACAATCGTGGAAGTATTATTTACAAAGCCACAAAGCATAATTATGATTTTTTAAAGGAAACAATTTTTCCCTATCGCACATCGTTTATACATTAAAACATCGGGCTAACTTTTAACAATGAATATATTATTACCACCATATATATTATTTTATATATGAACACCATATATATTATTATTGTATTTATTTATAACTTTATTTATAAATATTTTAATTATATGTTGTAATACGTAACGATTTTTGTTTTCAACATCGTTTAAATGTTAAAAATTAGAACACAGCTATGTTCGAAAACTGTTAAAGATAGAGCTGTTTTTTCTGTTCTATGCAATTTTTCCTGACGAGGGCCTCTGAAAGACAGCCGAAAATGTTTGAACATTAAACCTTTTTATTGTTTGTTTGCTGGAATTATCGCTTAGGTGTGAAGTGATTGTTTTAGTATATATTTCCAGTTTGTGTGTCAGTTCTGATGGACTATTGTAATTTTTATATGGAATTACTATTACTTGTTTCTTTTTTTCAATTTATTTTATTATTAATTTTCTTATAACTTAAGCTTATAAATTTAAAGTTAGAATGATTATCTGTACTGAGCAGCATTGCAGAAAATTAATTGTTTTTTTTTTTCAAAACCATGCAAATATGAGTGATAGTTAAACATGAATATACTAATTATTGTTACATATAGTACATTTATTGTCCATTACAGTATTACATTTAACATTTAATAATTATACAAGGTCTGTTCAAAAAGTATCGGACCTTTTTTTTTTCGCGTAAACCAATGATGCGCGAGAGGCCTCCTTTGGTGGAGTTGTAGAGGGGACAGTCATGCACAGCCCTGAATTTTTTCCCGCCTGCAGGAAGCGTCAGTCGTTGGCAATCGGCCTATGAGTGAGGTCATGTAGTGCACTCTCGTCGGATTCCACTAAGCTGGAAAATGACTGAACAACGTGAGCAGCGATATTACATCAAATTTTGCCAAAAACCTTGGCGATACCCGAGCGTAAATAATTCGCAAGATTCAGCAGGCTTTCGGGGACGATCCTCGAGGCCAAAAAAAGCGCGGCAGGTCTGCAGCAATATCAAAGGTCGTGTTGACAGTTTTTTCGACTCTCGTGGGGTGGTGTGTCGTGAGTACGCACCACAAGGCCAAACCATCGCAAAGGAGTACTACCAGGAGGTCCTTCGTCGTCTTTCCG